CATTGTTTTTATTGTTTTATATTGTTTGCACTATTCGCAAGGTTTACCGTGTAAACAACCGGATTCCCGAATTCTATAGTACTACCTTCGCTCATTGCTATTAAAGCTTCTGTGTTTCTTATCAAAATTCCAAGGAACTGTGTTCGACGATGTCTTAATTTTAAAATGTAGTTTATCTTACCTAGAATATGATATGATATGATATGGTATGGTATGATATGATGATATATGATTTGATATGCCAATTATATGATATGTATACAAAAAAAATTGCTGCAGGTCCCACCGAGAATTAAACTCGGATAGCTGGATTCAGAGTCCAGAATCATGTGACCGCGTATGGTGCTTCTAGTGTATGCCGACTTTCTTGAAATGAATTTAGTGTTTTTAGTTACTGATGGGCAAAATGCTGTTTAACTGATGTGCTAAAAAGAAATTTGGGCTAAAGGACAATCGTTGTTTTTATTTCAGTTGTTGTGTGATCTAAATGCCTTTTGCAGAAGTCGCATTGATCGCGTGATGTTGCTCTGCAAAAGGCCGAATTTCAGCTACAGCTAGCCGCGACGACTTTCGTCCCTCTTAGTTCTTAGTGAAATGCAGCCTTCGACGCTCAGCTGCCTAAGCTAATTATATAACAAGCTTTTTTTTTTCAAAGTCAGCTATTGAAATGGGACTTAATGTTCTGTGGTCGCGGCATAATTCTTTTCTCTTTTTGAATTTTGAAAACTACCTTCACGCGTCCTATTGCTGACTTGGCTCAAAATGAAGAGGCAATTTTTCATTTCATTGCTTATCGTATTAAAAACGCCAAACGGCTTTAGATTCTTTTTTCTTCAGTTTTCAGTTCACTTTGCGTAAACTACAAAATAACAGCTCAATGTTTACAAAAAAAATTGTTGTAGGTCCCACGGAGATTTGAACTCAGATCGCTGGATTCAGAGTCCAGAGTGCTAACCATTACACCATGGGACCTTTCGCGTGGCAAATAACAGAAAACAGAGGAGCCTTTTTTTAACATATCTTTCTTGTTTTTAGCACATCGATAAAGCATCGTCCCAAATTCGAACATTTTAAAAGCGCTACCACCTTTCCTACCAAAATGACGCTAGCTCATGAGCGCTCACTCAACTACTTAGCATTGAGAAACTCTGACTCATTCTCGTGTTCGTCCTCGTCCTGAGAACAGGGAACATTACACAGCATTGCAATAATTTCATTTCCATAGTTAAGACTAATCGCTTTTGAAATAGAATACATCTGTACTATTGAACTGCTGTTCGCATTTGAAAGGGTTCAACTGATGTTACTGGAGTATTACTCCTTTTCTTGTTCACATTCAAGTGGCGTTCTCAATCAAAGGAAGAAAGGATAGGGAATGGTTAGTTTCTGAGACATTTCAAGTCAAACAATACGTCTAAGGTAAAAAAAAAAAAAGCTAAGAACAGAACAGAACATCTCATAGAGAAGGAGGAGTAAGCAGAAGCGTTGGTGGTATAGTGGTGAGCATAGCTGCCTTCCAAGCAGTTGACCCGGGTTCGATTCCCGGCCGACGCAGTAACTTTTGTGTTCTCGTTAGCCAACCCTTTTTTAAATTTCATATAGTATATTACGTGCAGTTTTGGCTTTCTTTAACTGTCGTTTTTTTCCTTTTTACTCGCTCCTTAATGAAAGATTCTAGCTTAAATCGTGTTATTTTAGTTTTTTGGGGGACGCAAATAAGGTGCCGTATGGGAAGTGTGGAAGTGCCGAACTAGAATTATCATTAATCATTCTTTAATAGTACCTGCTCATGAGAGCTGGATTTTTCCTCATTAACTGAAAATTGTCGAATAACTGATGCCTCAATTCTCGTCTCGCTGTGGTGACTGAAGAGATCACAAAAATCAGCAGTATATTCAATATTCAATCAGTATATTCAAAAGTAATTACTTTTGCCTCGTACAGAATATTCTTGGTTCACATAACTGTCATTAGATTTGAAAAAGTGCAGTTGCATGAATTGCCCGTGAGCACAAAAGCTGGTCAAAACAATATTGTGCGCCTCATTAGCATATAAGAAACGGGTTATACAAATTCACTCTAATTAACCTGAGGAAAGTTTAGATCGGATGAACTCCAGTTAGACTAAACAAGACTGGCCATTAATCTTACCTTAACGGGATACAGGGATTTAATTAAAGGAGTATTCCCACTATGACAATTGAGCCTTAACATTCCTTAAAGGGTTGAGAAAGGCAACAGTTAAAAAAAATTATTTTGGTGATCAAAAAGTGGAATTAAAAATTAAAAGACAAAACCTAAGCAAACGAAGAAGCAATAAAATATCACTGAGAAAGAAATGTTTCTTTAAAAGGAAGTTCAAGTTGATATAGAAACAAAAAGTATAAGTTACAGACGATACCACTGTTGATAGAATTCTTTACGGGAGACGGAAAAAAGGGCTACAACAACATAAAAAATTTCATAGGTCCCACCGAGATTTGAACTCGGATCGCTGGATTCAAAGTCCAGAGTGCTAACCATTACACCATGGGACCGTGCGCACTGACGGCTTTTTGGAATCAAGAAAAGTAGTTCCCACGAAGATCAAAATGCTACTAAGACCTTTGAAGTAAAAGAAAACCATTTTTTTTAGTTTAAAGAACTTGGCTCCAACAATTTTCCTGTAGTTAGTGGTACAGCCACATCTGCAGTAGTAACCAGAAGTTTATAGGTTCGACTCCTTTTGGGTGTACTTCAAGGTTTTGCTTGTCCCTCCAGAATTTTGCAAAAGTGACAGAAATTGAAAACAATGCTTATGCAAAATTTTGGAGGGACGACAAAGAGTATTATGGTATCTTTGAAAAAGGCCTACGCAGCAACTTCCAACAATGAGTCATTTCACATCCTCTTACATGAAGGGGTGGATATACGAATGTACGGACGATTTTGTCAAAACAAAAATTTCTTGGCTGCAAAGATAACCAATTGTTTTTACTTATGGTGCTCCGCTGCGCGTGAGCTCTACTAAGAAAGCATTTAAATTAAAATTGAAAAGAGTGAAAACCATCGGGTGTTTTCCTTGTTATAGCTTCTATTCTGCTTATCCTAAATCGATCGTGAGTAAAATGTTACAGACCAGTTTGAAGAAAAAAGGGTCCTTAAAAGCCCATGAACACGCGCAAAAATAATTGGCATGGCACCCCAAATTTTGGGTAACGTGTAATTGACCCACCACACTCAATTAAAAACGTACCTTTCCTAATTGTCAGCGTGAGTATCGTACGGAGCCCAGTAAGTGCCATTCAAATTTTGCGCTCAATTTTTTCTGTCTCGACTTTTTTCTCGCCTTTAAGTCTTTTTCCCGACTTTTTTCTCGACTTTTTTCTCGACTTTTCCCCCTGACTTTGGAGTAAATCCGCTGACATTTAAGCGCAAACAAAATGGCCGCAAGAATTTTTCGTTATACGATGTTGCTGTCTATAGTAATTCCCTCTACATGTGTTCTGCCAGGCTATTTCTCTCTCCCAGCACATGCAGAACGTGACGACATAATCGACCACTTCTTTCATCTAGGTCTGGGTTACAGCGAGATCTTGATGTGTTTGTTTCTTTTGCACGGCATTTGCTTACTTTTCGGGTACTTTATCTAGGGACAGCAATACCGAGAGGAATCCTGTTTTAAAGGAACGATAACCACTCTAAAATCATCCTTCATCCCACGGCAGTTACCTATTCATAGCCTAAATATAATAGTAGTTCCCTCCTCCTTCCCCTTTCTCACCTCGATCCATCTGGAAATTGATATTATTGACTTTGAGGTAATGTAGCTCAGTAACTTAACTTGTAAATTAGGTGTCTAAGTAGGTTTCCTTCCTAAACCTTAACAACCATTGTGTTTTTAAAGTACTTTGTCACAAATAAAGGACAGTTTATTTGATTCATAGGTTTTGCTCAATAGTTTCATATTGCAGACTGGGGTACATGCCCCACATCACTGGAACAAACGGAAAAAAGATTACATTATTTACTGGGTTGACCGAAACAGGTAGAACTGAAGTGACCTGGCCTTAAGCGATTTCGTTTTGAAAGAAAGGCGTTCGATGAAATACCGGGCATTGAAATAGTGAGGTTCTTCTTGAGAATTAACAAATCAAACGTTTATTACAAATTACATGAAGCTATCAAACAAAGATCGTTTCTACAGTAATCGGCCAATCTCTGTTGACTTAGCTGCCAGTGTCTGGACAGACACCATGGCTTTCTTGGCTGCTTCTAAAGATGAGTAGCTCACTAACTAGTCAAACCTAACCTGTCTGTCTCTTTGTCCAGAATTCTGCCAGCTCAGGGAAGCCACGACAATCTGAAAATAAACAAAGGAAACTTGTTTAATATCCTTGTTCTGGCAAGGACCCTGGCGAGTTCAACATGAAAGCTCTCTAATAAACAGTTATTCGCTAAAGCTAAGTCATTTTCTGCTTTGATAACATGGCCCTTTTTTAAACTGCTTGAAATTGGAAATTGCAGTAACCCATGCACTTGCGAAGGCTGAAAAACACATGAGTGCCGAACGCCTGGAACACTACTACAGCCCCCCTCCGCCCACCCCCCCTGTCTGCTTACTTTCCTTTAATGACCGAGCAAGTTAGTAAACAACTAACAGGGGTGTAGCCAGCCAATAAACCTGTAGGCCCGGGCCTACAAATTTTCTACCGTTGTGTAGATATTATATACGCTATAAACGACAGGTAAAATGAAAATTTGGTCGCAAGTGACAAATTGTCTCTCGCCGTCATCGTAAAGCTAAAATCCCTATATAGTTGGTGCCATCCTGTGTTATTGGAGTTTTACAAGACCTAGCACTTTGTAAATCTAGTGTTTCGAACTTTTATTAAGTCAAGATGCTGTATTGCTGGTTTTATACATTTCTCCTTGCGAGTTTGCGATTAACGTTTGCCCCTCCCCCCTCCCCTTCCTTACATCATCTACGTCAGTTCATACGAGAGACTGGCA